AAAATTTCAGCATAATTGGTTCATTGTACTTCAGAAAATTCAATTTTTTAATAGGGTATTTCAAAAAGAAGCATTTTGCTAAAAATGGTCAATCTTCATACAGATTCAACCAACTAAGGATCAGCGGCACCGGTGGTGTAGTGGTAAGCGTGATTACCTCTCACCTCAGCAGGCCTGGGTTCAATCCCAGTCGGCACCGCCGGGATGTTCTGAGGCATAGCATCTCTGATCACGCATTCCTTCGGAAGGGAAATTAAGCCGTTGGTCCCCGGTTCATGAGTTGATGGGTCGCTAGGTAGTAGGGTCCAGGTGTGGGAGCTTCCTCCCTGGCGTTGGTAGCATTGGTGCTCAGCACGGAAAACAAGATCGACGGAAAACAAATCAAAGAAAAAAAAAAAACCAACTAAGGTAAAAATGTTTCCGATAAATTTCAAATACTTGAAAAAATAGTAGCCAAGATTTCAGAACATTTCATGGACATCTGAAAAAAGTTAGCGGCACCGGTGGTATAGTGGTAAGCGTGATTATCTCTCACCCCAGCAGGCCTGGGTTCAATTTGGAAAAAATCAAACTTTTGAAGAAATCATTTTTAGTCCCAATATTTAAATCTGGCAAACGGTCAGACAATAAAAACTATAGAGATATTGCAATTATGTCATGCATTCCTAAAATGTTTGAAGCAATTGTTAACCAGAAAATATTTAACCAGGTTAAACATCGCATTTCAAATAATCAACATGTTTTTTTTAAAGGTCGGTCAACGTCTACTAATCTGTTGGAATTTGTAAACTTTTCTATTGAAGCAATGGATAGAGGTAATACCGTTGAAACCTTATACTCTGACTTTAGTAAGGCCTTTGACATTCCCTTACTTCTTTTTAAATTAAAACGTTTAGGTATGACAAGTACACTTTTAAAATGGATTGGATCATACTTGATAGAAAGAACACAGATGGTCCACTTTAAAGGAAAAATGTCCTCGTCAGTTAATGTTACCTCGGGAGTTCCACAGGGATCTCATTTAGGTCCTTTATTATTTATTTTATTTGAGGATGACGTGAAGTTTGTGTTGAATTGCTTAAATGTGCTCATATATGCTGACGATATGAAACTGTACATGGAAATCTTTAACAATTCTGATTTGCTACATTTAAAAAATGAAATTGAAGTTTTCTACAATCGGTGCGTATCTGTGTAGTCTGCTGGATATTAATGTTAAAAATGCAATATTATATCTTATTCCAGAAAACACACTACTCTAGATTTTACATATACTCTAGGAAACCAACTGCACCCAACCGGTGGATGTAAGATTCGCTTACAATTATGTGGGATTCATCATCAGAGGATGTAAGTGGAGACCGCATGAACCGAGGATGCGATATACCTAGCTGCGGTCCGATGTAAGAAAATTGGAGACCGAAAAATGTGGAGTTGTATTAGTGAGTGAAATTAATATGTCGAAAAAAATAGAAAAGAGGTTGCCGACTGGACTCGAACCACGGACGTTGCGACTAGCAGACCTGTGCTTTCTCCACTGCTCTCTCCATGCTTCTGAATATGGTCAGCCTAAAAGCAAACATGAAGCGCTCATTTTCTCGCATGCTCGACTTCGTATGCTTTTTCTGCTGGAGAGATTCGAGTTAAGTGTGTGCGTCGTTCTACAATGTTCTACAATGTGCGTCGTTCTACAAGCTTACTGGTACCTTGTATAGACCAAAAGCGTAGATGCAACACGAAATAAAAGTGCTCGACTTCGTATGCTTTTTCTGCTGGAGAGATTCGAGACAAGTGTGTGCGTCGTTCTACAATGTTCTACAATGTGCGTCGTTCTACAAGCTTACTGGTATAGTCGAAAGCGTAGATGGAGCACGAAATAAAAAAAAAAGACAAAAAACCATTACATCGCCTGCATGGTCAATTGCTAACATTCGTTGCGATGTTCATGAACAGAGGATGATAGGAACTGGAACTAACATTCATTGTAATAGATTTTTGGTTTGCGTGTAGATATTTGTATATGCAGTCTACATTTATTGACAATTTCAAATAAAACGTATGTTTTAAAATAGCATGTAAGGCAACAGCACTATTGTAAAACGGTCTACACTGATTGACGACAAATAAATAAATACATCCCAGTCGGAGCCGCCGGGATGTTCTGAGCAGGGCTGACAAATGTCAATTTCAATGAAAGATCTCACGCGATATTTACAGAGATACTTCTGTCACTATCATTGGATGAGAAAACGATGATAGAGTTTTTTTTTTTCAAAATCTCATCGAATTTTTTGTCATGATAGAACGTGACAGTGTTGTAATCATCGTAACTACTAGTTCATTTAACACTATTGAAGTAACTTTTACCGAGGAAATCTTAATATTATATTCACTCTACCGATTACATACGGTTGTTTGCTTAAATTCATCTAAATCAGTTAAAAATGTTGATGTCAAAACCGAATAAGAATTATTCTCGTGAGTGCTTGATCGTTGAAAAATGACTAGAAAGCTAATGATAGGTAGTTTCGTCTCGTGAAAGTAAGAGGGCCTGTTTTCTCTTAGTAACATGACGGCCGTGATATTTACCAGCTCTGGTTCTGAGGCATAACATCTCCGATCAGGAAGGGCCGGTGCCGGTGGTGTAGTGGTAAGCGTGACTGCTTTCTCACCCTAATGGGTCTGGGTTCAATTCCAGCCAAGGTCGGTGGGGTTTTTCTGAGGCATAAAAATCGCTGGTCACGTTTCCTTCGGAAGGGAAGTAAAGCCGTTGGTCCCGGCCTATGTGTGTTTGAATGGGTGCGATATCCTACGCAGGTGTATATTCGATTGCCGTCAATCGGTGGAGTTAAAAATATAGCGATGATATATACTTATTATATCTAAGCTCCACCAAGCTCAATCAATTTTAAATCAGGTCCTGATTATATAAAACAGCAAAAGGTTATCTACCATTTCATTCCACTTAATTCATTTTGGTATTTATGACAGATATCTGAAAGCGAATTTGGCAGGTTTTATGTGTCAAACACTTGCCTTTCAACCTTTTCTTGTATTTAACAAGTACAAAATATATTTATAATATCTAATGACTTCAATATTCGAAAAATAATTTTTTTTATAGCAAGTAAGTGGAAGCAAGTCTGATCACGGTTATCGAAAATTTAATTTAATGTTCGAAAGTGCAAGCAAGATAAAAAAAAAATCATCGAACCGCTCAAGTCTTTTCCAAAATCGAGTCCAAAATTGGCGTTCTAACACGTTCTAACGTCCATAAAGATTATTAGGAACAAAAATGAGAAAGGAACTATTTATATAAATTTTCAGGAAAAGGGCAGGTTCAAAATATCCACGCAAAGTCACAGATAACATCGAGTTATCAAACAAATTTGTCTAGCAACGATGGTGACGAACTAACGCTAAGTATTTCTTAAGTATTTTCAAGTATTTCTAAGTATCTTACATATCAGTAAGGATTTTTTGTGTACAACGCAGTAAATACAAAGATTAGAGTGGGATGCCCCTAGGTATGGCAATAACAAAAAGTATCGTGTTTAAACGGAATACTATGTACTTAGTATACCTGAACACGGAAAAAAATACAAAATTTTTCAAAATTATCAGCTTCAAATTTGATGAATATTCAATAATTCAATGTTAATTTAGATTTTAACCATCACCATAATTTGATGCATTACCCCTCGGTTTGATATTAGCGTCTTACCACCTGCAGCTATCCACCGCAGCTAAATTAACATTAAGAAAATTTGCCAAAAACTATCAAGAAATTTCAAGGGATGATGGGAAATTTGGAGAATCTCAGGCATGTTCCGAAAATTTTAGGGTCATTAGGCAAGGAAAATTGCAGGAACATTAATAAATATTCCAAAGCTTCAGGAAAATTTCAGGAACTCCAGGGCAGATCGAAGAACTTCCAGGCAGTTCAAATTACATCAGGAAATGGGCGAGACCTTTGAAAAAGTTTTGCGAAATTCAGAGAAGTCGAGAGAACTTTAAACTTTACGAAAAACGTCAGGGAAGTCTAGACTTCCGTAAAAGTTTAAAGATGTTGAAGAATTACTTCTGAAAAATGAAGTGCAGTTTCAGCACTTTGAAAAAAAAATCGAGAACTTCAATGTAAATTCTAAAACTGCATTAATTGTTTCAATATAACTTGAGGAAATCAACAGAAATCCAAAAGAAGTTCCAAGAATCTTAAGATATGTTCAAGGAACTTAAGTGAAATTTAGAAAAAAAAACAGGAAAGCTTCTGAAATTTATCAGAAGTTCATATTTAGGGAAACCTAGGAAATCTTTGAGATCCCAAGTAACAATTTTGGTTTTATGAGGGTTCTGTAAACCATGATTTAGATTTATAGCATGCTTTAAAACCTCGATAAAACTTGCAATGTTACTTGTGACCTTGAGGAAAATATAAAATGCTCCAGAAAAATTCATTGATCATCTTCATCCTGAAGAAACATTTTTATTTTTATTTCAAGTTGAATTTCGATCCATTGAATGCTTTTATATACACCCTCGAATGCTTTAGAAATTTTCTCTGTAGTCCCACAGTCTTAATGATTGTATTAAATTCAAAATCTAAAAAATCGTCTCAGATATCCATTAAACCAAGCTAAAAATTTCGAGAAGTTTCAAAGTCCAATACTTCTTCTTCGTCGAATGACCTAGTAATATTTAGATTATCAGGAAAAATACAGCAAAAAATATAAAAATAGTTCCCATCCCGGGAGCCTCCAGTGATCATATTAGAAAGTTGTTGACTTGGAAATTAATAAATAATTATTTTTTATGATAATCAATCTAAAAGTGGTTTTCAGCTAAGTGGTTGCTGAAAAAATTCCCACAAGTACAGATAGTAAACTTTTCCGTACACAATTATGGCAAAGGGCTAGACGATCAGAGTAAAAAGTTAACTTTTTCCTATAGTAATTACCATATTAACTTCAAAGGGCTAGTGCAGTGCGAGTTCGCATTCAAAATTGTGGGAGGATGATCAGGACCTGATTATGAATCTATTAAGTGTGGTGGAGCAAAATCGATATTTTGAACCACCCTAATATATAGTTACTTAAATCTATTACCAACTCACCTAAAGACAAATCACAGGCCGGGCCAAGAATAACATGGCCACAGTCCCTGCCAGTGCCATCCATCGCCGAAACGGTAGCCCTAGCCTGGTCACATTTGTCATCGTAGAAAATCCACCTTATTGCAACCGACGATGGTATAATTTTCTGAGATCTGATATAATCTTCGGCTTTCAATAGCACCGGATGAACTCTTGGTGATGACGCTTCGATACTTGTGTTGGCGGGTAAAATCACTATTATTCTCAATTCACACTTCCACTGATTTGTTTCCAGCTGAGAACTGACGCTTGAGTTGTTTTCGATCACCCGCCTCCCGGAATCGATGGGAACACATATCGCTTCGCACTGTCGAACATCTTGCCGCCGACATTCAGCGTGAGCTGTTGGCAGTAGTAAAGATATAACTGCCAGAATTGCAGCTATTTGAAGAGGGACTTCCCGGAGTTTTCTTTTCCACGACCAATGACAGGAGATGAGCGGTTGCAGAAACATACTTGGTTCACTCATTCTGGAATTATATTCTTCTCTTTTCGCCATCCAACACAATTTTCACTGAAGTGTACCCTTAAGAGCACGAGTTGGACACTGCAAATGACATTTTCTGTCTACCTAGCAGCACGATATTTCTTAATTATTTTCTTGTGATAATATTGCCTTCTACCTATCACAGTTCAAATTTCTTTACTTCACTTGTGAATCCATGAAGGTGTGCTTTTTACGAATCTTCCTTGCCAGCCTGATCCTTTTGAATTCAGTGGACATCATGACCATTACACGTTTATCAAACATTTTCATTTGAAATTCACCATTCTGAAAATAGAAGAGAAGAAGCATACCGTTAAGCTGGTCATTCTAAATACTGTTATAACAGCCTAAGGCTGAAAGCCTCCTAAATAAAGCTAAATAATAATAATAATAATACTGTTATAAAAGGCTTAAGATTCGATTCGAAATATTTTAAAACTTTTTGAAGCGATTTATGTTCACAGCAAAGAAGCCATCAAACAATCCCAACACGAAATGCTGCAAATTAAAGACCATGCACGGAAATATTGACAAAACAGCATCACTCACTCAAACTAAAAATGGTCTTCAAGGGATACCTTGTCAATTGTCAATGGCAATGTAGTCATTGACAAAAATGTGCTGTTTTTGATATATGCTAAATTTGAAATGCAATAAAATGATTTAAGCAAAATAAATCCATGGAGCCGTGAAAGGGATCAAACATCTACGTCACTTAGCTGCCTGGATAACAATAATGGAAAAGGAATGCACGAAATCAAACGGTTTGTGAATCTTTGTCATTGATGAAAAAGGAATGAGATTTTGACGAAGGTTTGTGTGGGATTCAATACTTTCAGTGACGGTGTAAAAAATAACCTTGTCAATATCGCGTGAAATCTTTCAATAAAAAATAACAAATCTCTGCCAGTAGTGTGCCCGTTCTTACCTGTTCTATGTATGTTGACAGATTCCTGCATCGAATTTTTATTGCATTTGGCACTTCTTGAAATGGTTACCCTAATAGACAAATACCATAAACGAACTGTATCCTGGATGGCTAAACTATCCCACAAATGGTTTGGATGATACCCCGAACACAGGTTGCTGAAATCGCTTCATCAAAATAAAAAAAAAACTGAGGGTGTTGTATCTGACAGCATTTTCATTGACAATTGACATGGTTTGCCTTGACGATGACTGTTAGCACAAATGAGTGACCAAAGCAGGATTGTCAATCAATATCACTGTGTATTGGCGAGATTTTGCAGCACTGCTCTGCTCGCCCAGACATACTAACACCTCCAGAGGTAGAATAAGGTTTCCCCAATATAATGGTGGTGCTAGTTTGCGTGGGAGATCTAAGAGTTTCGACAAATTGACCTTTATATCTTTGTTTACTTATGCAGTTTACGTAATTAGGATGAACACTGTGGTGCAACATTAATTTTAATCTTCTTCTTCTTCTTCCTCGAATTTCAAGCTTATTTCATATCGCATATTAGCTTATTGCGTGCTCTCAACTTAGTGTTCTAGATGCACGTCCACAGTTATTAATTGAGAGCTTTCTATGCCTGTACCATGTTTGCATTAGTATAATTGTGTGTAGAATACAATCATACTATATGCCCAGGGAAGTCGAGAAATTTTCCAACCTGAAAAAATCCTAAACTGGACCGAGAATTGAACCCAGTATGGTCTTGCTTTGTAGCTGTGTCTTTACCGACTTAACTAAGGGAGGCCTCCAAGGCCCCCGAAATTAATTGTACAAATGCCGACTTTCATGTAAACTAGCCAACTTTAAAATGTTGTAACTTTTCATGATCAATTGACCACTTTGTCAAGCAGTTTTGATGTGACTTTCTACCAGCGATTTCACAAAACTGGACCAAATAATTTCTATTTTTAATGAAACGCACAAATGTTGGCTACTTTTCTCAAGGTTCTAGAAGAAAAAATCTGAAAAAAAAATTTCAAAGTTCGAGTGGTAGTAAACGTAATTTTAAGTGCTTTTCGTAATTTTCAGCTCTATTGATAATAACAGAACAAATTTGCAAACATCTGGGCTAGTTTGCATGAAAATTTTCCTTTATTAGAATAATTTCGCACCATAGTGCAGAGTGGTGGGGTAAAACTTCCGAATGGGGAAAATTTTTTTGTTGAGGTTTTCGACGTCTGTGTTAAATAAAACTCATTGTTTTGGTATTTGTTTGGAAGGTCTTTTACAGCAAGAATTTCCCTCAGAAAAATCACAAAAACTGATGTTATTTTCAAAGAATTATAGTATGTGTCGGGATGATACATTATAACATTTGTACCAACTTTGGGGCCTCCTTTAGCTCAGTCGGTAAAGGCGCAGCTACAAAGCAAGACCATGATCGATTCCCGGTCTGGTCTAGGATTTTTTTGGGTTGGAAGATTTCGCTGGGCATAGAGTATGATTGTACTTGCCACACAATTATACTAATGTTAACATGGTACAGGTATCGAAAGCTCAATTAATAACTGTGCATCTAGAACACTAAGTTGAGAGCATGCAATAAGCTAATATGCGATATGAAATAAGCATGAAATGCGAGGAAGAAGAAGAAGACCAAATTTTGAGGCGTACAACAGGAAAACATCAATAGTGAAGGGGTAATTTTATGTTAGGGCATGATTGCGATTTTTTTGATGATGATGATGATGATGAGTATCAGACATTTGATATGTCATCAGGAAGCTGAAATTGCCTATAAATACCTAGTGTGGCAAAACTTCGAGTCAGCGAATAATAATTAATTTTGTTTATTTTTTATTTTATTTTTCCTACCATAGTTATAAAAACATATTGATAACTTATTTTGTTTATTATTAATGAAATTACTAATATCAAACCGCATACATGGATTTGTTATCAAGAAAACGTGAGTTGTTATCTTTTTACCATCCTTCATATACCATTTAGATCTCATTTTTGTTTTGATTACTGTTAACTCTACCACACGGTAGGCAAAATATGTTATCACGATCGCTTATATAAAACTATCAAATTTAGTTTTCATTTTGTTTTCATTCTCTGCTCGGGTACTCCCTGTGTTTTGCTCAGTATAAGGCGTCGTTGTGCCAATTTGGTCGTGGCACATTTCGAGCATGAGATTGCAGTTAGATCAAAAGTGCTTGAGAAAAATGCAAGTCGAGAATTACCGAAGTTGTGATAGTGAAGATATGATCACAGACAAGCAGACATAATAATATTGAAATGTTCATAGAAATCGCGTTTAACGGTAAATTTAAATGTTTTTCAGTTGGTATTACCGCCACCAGAGGCGCGTATAATCATTTCCCTTGCGTTTTACGTTTACACACTACATCCATGTTAGCCGTGTATCAGCATTATATTGCAAAAAGGCGAATTAGCGGGCTTGTTGGTTACTTGGGTAATCCCTTTAGTATTTATTTCAATCTTTTTTCGCACTTTGAATATAACGATCTACGGAATGGTGAATCATGGAATGAAATACGAAGCGTTAGAGAAAAAGTACAAGGGACTCCAAAAGAAGCAATCAACGGCGACAGACCAGCGGTAGTTGATGAGACCGCGCCAATTATTCTTTATAAATTAAATTTCAAAATTAAACTAAATACGCGCCAGGTTTGAAAAAAATATACTCGACACTGGAAGTATGTATGTACAGTGACCGACTCACAAAAAAAAATCCACCCGCTCAAATATAAGATCAACGCTAATCTACTAATCAGGGTTGCTTCCACTCTCTTGCTATGAAAAAAAATGCTTTTTTGAGATTATTAAATCATTAGACTTTAGAATGATAATAAGTTCTTGTAACTTACAAGTACAACATATCATTATTCATTTTCAATTGCATTTCATTCATTTCAATCCAAGGCCGGTAGTAAAGGAAGGGTAATGGCTGACTCGCCACATGCAGGCTACATGATCGCTATGGGAAGGGATAATGATTAGATTAAGGTAGGTGGTTGGATGTTTTTTGGATTGAGATGGCCACGATGTTACAAAATGATATGGAATGTGTAAGCTGGAAATAGTTTGAAGTTTGAATGAGTTATTTAGAGTTCATTACTGAGAGTTTTGCTCTGCTTTGAATCAGAACACTGGATTCCGTGTGTATTGTTTCAAGATAATTATGGAAAAAATGCTGTGATGTGTGCGCGTAGATACATCCGCGTAGTAAACCTATTGAATAAATAAATCCGTTTCGAACGAAATATCTAAATTATGTAAGTTTCGAAAACCGCGCGAATTCCGAGAGTCGTGCGAGACAACCGAAGCGAGAAAAAAAGGCTTATTATCATTTAAAGAGTGCCACCAAAATAAATGTGATAGCCTATGTTGGCAAGTTGATTAATTTTGGTTTTTTCCCTAGATATTCCACTTATTTACCACTGAGTTTTGTATCAAATTAGTTAATTTAAAGAACGTATCAATCATTTCAAGATTTCGCGACCGTACCGAACAAATTATATACTACATAAGCTCAAAAGCCTTTGACAAGCTCTACTGAATTACGCATCACCTATGCGTAAGCTCCGCAGACGTAGGCGCGTTGATTCCGACAGCCACCAAAGGTTTAAACTGCACCAAAACCGCTTTAGGAACGACCTCGAGTCAGTAGAACCGTTTAGAGCTAAACATCTAAATTACGTAAGATACAAAAATCGCGCAAATTGCGAGACAACCGACAGAAAAAAAACTGCTTATTATCACCTAAAGAGTGCCACCAAAATAAATGTGATAGTCTATGTTGGCAAGTTGATTAATTTTGGTTTCCTCCCTAGATATTCTACTTATTTTTTTACTGAGCTTTGTTTCAATTTAGCTATTTTACCGCACGTATCAATCATTTCAAAATTTCGCGACCGTACCGAACAAATTCTAAACTACATCAGCTCAAAACACTTTTGGCAAGCTCTACCGAATTGCGAATCACTTCTGCGTAATCTCCGTAGACGTAGGCGCGTTGATTCCGACAGCCACGAAAAGTTAAACGTGCATCGATGCGTCAATACCACATAAGGAAAGATCGATTTTACAGTCACGTAGGGTTTAGTTCATAGATTAACATTGACTGCTGTTTGCAAATGTAAGTACTTGA